CAATGATGAGATTGATAAATTATTGATAGGAAATGTGCTGGAGGCCTCAGAATTTCATAAAGAACATCATGTCAATAGTAAAGGCTTAAAAAAGGATTTTTCCATAACTTGGCAACAAGCCAAAGAAATAGTAAAGAATTTTCCTACTTGTTCCTTCTACAATGAAAGGCCATTACCAGCAGGATGTAACCCAAAGGGTACTCAGAGGAATGAAATCTGGCAGATGGACTTGTTTCACTTTGCAGAAATTGGAAAATTGAAATATGTATAACACACCATCGTTACTTATTCAGGATTTCAATGGGCAACTGCTTTGAGTTCTGAAAAAGCTGATTCTGTAATCACTCATTTGCTAGAAGTTATGGCCATCATGGGTATACCTGCACAAATCAAAACTGACAAGGCTCCATCATATGTCTCTGTTAAAATGAAACAGTTTTTTGCTTATTACAATATAAAGCATATTACAGGCATACCACATAATCCTACAGGCTAATACTGCAGCAGATGGCAATAGTATAATGTTTAGAGAGGCCAGCTCCAGCATTATGAAGTAAGATAAATAAGGATAGATCTGGAGACGAGGCATAAGATTGGTTGTTGGAATGGGGCTCTAATGAATTATTCAAAAAAGTATAATGATTGAAAAGATGCTTACCCAAAACTCTGGTTAAAACCAATTGACAATAAATATAGTATAGGAAGGGACAATATACCTGAGAGGAAAGGAAGAAATTGTGTGACTTTTTAAAGAATCATGGCAAACTCTTTAGCTACCTAGTGAGTTTGAGGTTAGCCTGGGCTATATGAGATTATGTCTTGGAGAAACAAAAGAGAAATAACTGGGAGTAGCAGTAGTGGTTGAAATAGATAATGTTTATTTCTTTTAATTTTGCATTTATCAAAATTGATGCTGGTTAGTTTGATGAAGCAATTGGATAAAGTGAGAAACATATTTCTCTTATTACCCCTGGCTTTAAGATACAGTGGTATGTAGTATTAATGTTGAAAAACCTGGTAGGCTGGGATGTATCTCAGTTGGCGGAATGTCTGCCTAGCATGCACAAAGCCATGGGTTCTATCCCTGCACTGCATAAACAGCACAATGGTGCATGCCTGTAATACCAGCACTTGGGAGATAAAAGGAAGATCAGGAGTTTGGGTTGTTTTTTCAATGACATAGTGAGTTTGAGGTTAGATTTGGCTATATGAGATTGTGTCTTATAAAAGCAAAGAAAAGAAATAACTGGGAGCAGGAGGTAGGCGAAATTTAGGCTACATCAGGGCAGAACTATTTTGATTTTACTGTATCCCTGGTGTCTTGAACAGCTCCAAGAATGCCCGCTGAATATTTGTTGAAAAAACTAAGAATTTTTGAGTAATTCAGTAGAGAAAGAAATTGGAAATGCAGATTTCTCAGAAATGTTTTAGTGAACCAGGATTCTCAAGATGCAGGAGTATATATTGAAGATATAAAGATGGTGAAGTCAAGAGTAGATGTGGTTAAATAATTAAACATTGTTACATAAAATACCTAATGAGATTTTAAACTTTATTTTCATATCTTTATAAACTTAAATTTTGATGTTTGTGCTGTAATTTTTTGATTACAAAAAATTTTAAATGTTTTGTTTTTGTGTAAGGATTGATCTATGACCTATAGTATTTCAAAACACCTAAGTCTTCATTTAGTGTAATTTTCTTTATCTTTTAATTCAGTCTACAAATAAGAAACCTCGAAAATCTCCAGGAGAAAAGAGCAGAATTGAAGCTGGAGTTAGAGGGGCAGGTCGTGGAAGAGCTAACGGACACCCTCAACAGAATGGTGATGGGGATCCTGTCACATTATTTGAAGTGGTGAAACTGGGGAAAAGTGCAATGCAGGTAATTTTTAAATGTTTTTATTTCTTGTATAAAGCATGACAGTCAGTAATCTATGTAGAATCTGCTAATGTATACATTGACACTTCAGGCATATTATGTGTGTCAATGTCTGGTTTTGGTGATGGTTTTTGTACCCCGGGTCTTAAATATTCTGAGCATGTGCTCCACCACTTTGTTACTCCTCTGACATCTGCATAACTGATATTTGTCTGCACCAAAAGGCCATTCTTGTTAGTTTTTTTTTTTCAGGTTAGCTTACAGAGAACATTTTGTTTATTTTCAAGCTATTCTTTCAATTTTACCAAACAAAATGACTAGTAGGAGATGCCCAAGACTTTCTGTTGCCTTGCTATAGTTTTTTGAGCCTGATTTGATATGTGTTATACAGATTTCAGGGTATTTGAAGGAAGAGTGTATGTGAGGGGGTATGTGTGTGTGTGAGTGTGTGGGTGGTGGTAAGTGTGTCTCTTGTCTGTCTGTCTCAGAGCCTCAAGTCCTCATGCTCATACAAGAAGCACTTTATGTATTGAGTCATCTCCTTAGTCCAGAGTGATCTTTTAGTAATCTGTTTACTGTTTTTTCTATTTCATTTATTCAACAATCAATTGTTTGGTAGTCTATGATTTTATTGATAACTTCATTAAAAAGATAAACCAGTTATTTTACCATTCCTTTAGCATGTTGTTATATTATTTTTTACTATTAAAGTATAGTAATTATTCATATTTATCTCTGTACATTTGTCATTTGAAAATACCACGGGTGAAAGTTTTTGCTTAAGAAGCAAATTTTCATAAGAAGTGTAAGAAGTAATAAAATGCACAAGAAACCTGAAAGTGTGTTCAGTTGAATATGCTGGGTTTGGAATACAAATTTGAAATTCAGCATTCTGGTGGCCAGGCAGGAGGCTCACAATATTGAGGACAGCCTGTTCTACATAGTGTCCTTCTACCAGAAGAACATATAAATAACCAAGTAATAAAAAAGAAGTGTAGCCGGAAGGGGTGATGCACACCTTTAATCCCAGCACTCAGGAGGCAGAGAAGCGGAATCTCTGCTTTCAGAGCCAGCCTGGTCTACAGAGCTAGTTCCAGGGAAACCAAGGGTACCCAAAGAAATCCTGTCTTGAAAAAACAAACAAAACAAAACAAAATGTGTAAAACCATGCTCAGTTTCTTTGTTTTGGTGTTTTATATTTAAAAATTATTTGATAATTTAAATCAGTATTATTTTAATTTTCATTTCCTTGATAACCAGTGATTAACAATAAGCTAAATCTTCGTTTAATTTTTCATTTGCTAATTTTAAAATTGTGTTTTCAATTTAAATGTGAAAAACATTTAGATGTTTTATGAAATAGAGTTATATTCAGGACCAACATAGTGTGTCATTACTTTACCTTTTAGTTTTTATTTGTATTTCATTTTGAGGCCCTTAGAGCAATTAACTTTATATTGTCTTTTTTTCTATATTGATGTGTCATTGGTCTTTGAATTTGTGTGGGCAAGCAACAATACGGATTATACTGGTAAGATTCCTTATTGTACAACAAAGACTGAATTTCCAGTTATCCAAAGCAGTAGATGATTGTACATTATATTAATGTACTTTAAAAACCAAATGCCTTTTAGCCATTAAATTTGACCGTGTATTCATCATACTTTCAGAGAGAAATATTAACATGCTACAGAAGTACTGATTTTTAAAATAAATTATTCTCAATTTTGACTAGAAAGAATTGAAGTGAATTTCATATAAATTCAATAATTTCAGTATTTTGTATTTTTCATGTGAAACTTCATTTATATAAATACTTTAATACATATTTAATATTAAATTTTAAAATGTAAATATTAAATATTTAATACTGAATGTTAAACTTAATATTGACAAAGCATTTATTATCAATATTACTTTTATTATCAAATTGGCTAGGTGTGGTAGTGTACACTTTCTTTAAGGTTTGTTTGTTTATTTTTAGTTTTGTGTGTATGTGTGAGTGTTGGTGGTAGAGTGCACATGTGAGTACAGATGTCTGAGAATCCAGAAGAAAGCATCAGCTCCCTTGGAGACGAGGTTGTAATCCACCTGAGATGGATGCTGGTAACCATGCACAGCACTCTTTACTGCTGAGCCATCTCTCTAGCCCTGTTTTAATATAGGTTCTGGGGACTGAACCTTGATTCTTTCACATGTATAGCAGCCAGTTTATCAAATGACATTTCTTCCCAGTCACAAAATAGTGCAAAATCCTATCTATATTTTAAACAAAATATTGACCAGGGTAAGATTTTGCATATTATTCTTACACATTTTCTGAATATGGATTGCTTTTCAGGATACCACATTTTTCAGAATTTGACTTTAATATAATATTTCAAATATTTTATTGTTTTATTTTCAACTTTTATTCACTGTTTTTATAATTTCGTACTCATATTTTTCTTACTCGGTATGATAAAATTAATGTCATTAACTTTAGTCAATTTATTTTTCATATTGCAACCTATTGGTGGCATTTTTACTGTGGATTTTCCTTTTGATTTTTCAGATTTATTTGTCTTTCACAAAACCTGGCCATGATTTATTGAGCAAGCTTAATTTTATTTGTATATAATATTATGCTCCTAAAAGTGCCGCTTTTGATCATTTTTATTATACCTCTAAAATATAAATGTAGAATTGTTTCATCACAATTTTTTGTGTGTGGTTCCTGAGCCAAGGTCATGCATGTTTAAAATGATTGACAAAGACTTTCTTTTAACAGTGACATGGCAAGTTTGCTATTTGTTACCTACGTACTTCAAACGTAAAGTCGTGATAAACTGTTCTATAGAGAGTATAAAAAGCCTGCATGGTTTGTATCCCTGTAATCAAAGACTAAGCTATACTCTATCTCAAACTAACATGTTGTGGGGAGGAAATAGATAATATCATTGAGTTTGGAAACAGACTGGATGTGTATTTATTTTCTGTAGAAGAATACTATGTATTTTGTATAGAGGAATACCACAAATGAATAAAATTTGGGTTATGATAGAGAAGCACTTAATGGTAGTCAGGAACTTGACATTTGTGGGTTAAAAAGAACTTAAATTACTTCCTAAAAATGAGAGTGTGCAGGTTTGTTTCAAAAGTAAGGTCCTTAGTATCCTTTCCGACAGTGGAAGCTCAAATGCTGCTAGACAAGGGTAGGCTTATAGTGACCTGAATGTAAACTGTCTTCAGAGTCTTGTGTTTCAGAGCTGCTTCTTTTAGCTCATGGTGATATTTTTGGAGGTTGTGCAACTTTTAGCATGTAAGGACTGGCTTTCCAAAGTTAGTACCTATTAGGTAGGACTTCAGAGTTTCCACATTCTGCTTCTAGTTTGTTCTTCTGCTTTTTGATTGACCATCTTGTGAGCATGTCTCTGCTGCTGGCTTCTTCTGCCATCGACTTCACTATGTCTTCCTTAGCATGTGATCCTCTGAAACTGAAAGATAAAATAAATCTTTTCTCTCTTATATTTCCTTCAGGATTTTGTCACCACAATGAGAAAAGTAATTCAGATATCATGTATCTCAAGCTGTCCTTTGGTTTGCCTATTAAACATAGTATTCCTACAGTTGTAAGTTAAAAAATTAACTGAAATTCTCAAAAGGGTCTTACTTTTTATAGGATAGTATATCTTAAAATTTTCCTTTGTAGGAAATAAAAAGATGAAGAAAGAATCAGGACAAGTATAGGCCATATGAACAGCACTTTAGATAAAATATGCTGTGTTAATGACGTCTGTGGAATTACTAAGTTTAAAGGAAGGTCTAAAGTTATAGTGTATGTTTTAAGATTTTGGAATATGAACAGAAGTAATCAGAAAAATATTAGCTAAGGATGGATGAATAATAAATTAGTAAATTTAAAAAGGTAGATGAATAAAAGAAGATATTTGAAAATTAAAATAGGGAATAAATCAAACAAGAATAGATTTTTAAAAAAGACAGTGTTAAAAGCTGAAAATAAGTTGTTGAAATGCATTATTCAGGTAATTAATTTTCCTATTAAAATATTTAATAATAGCCTCTCCTTAGACAGTCCCTTACAGTGTAGCCCAGAGTAGGCAAGAGGAAAGAGAATAATAGCAAGGAAATGCAAATTTATCTTGAGATTGCAAGGATGGTTTGATATTAGACAATCTTGTACTATAATGCACCAAATAATCATGTTACAGGAAAGATACATACTATCTATATTGGTATAGAGTGTTTATAAAATTTATTTTATACCCATGTTAAAAATTTTATAAATGGGGGGGATAGGAAAACTTCTGTTCCCAGTAAATGTTACTTTCCTCAAAACCACAATTCTCAATGTGTCTTTTTCATAGTGAAATATAGTTGCATTCTCTGGACCCAGGATTGTCACTACTGTTTATTACTTACTCAACAGAACACATAACCAGTGTCTTGAGCCAACAATAATGAAAACCCAAACAAAATAGAAGAGCTGCAGTAGTTAAAAAGATGCAGATGTATCCATTCTTACAGAAGATACACAAACTTGTATTAAAATTTCAAAAGAAACTTTTCTGTGGTGTTGGAACTGAGTATCAGAGTTCCTGAATAGAAAAATTAACATTAAAAAATTTAGGCCAGGGAGATGGCTCAACTTATACAGACTCCTAACTGGCAAGCCTATTGAACTGAAATCAACCTCCAAAATCCACCTGATGAAAGGACAAACTTAAATCCCGCAAGTTCTTTTCTGACTTCACATGAGTAGTCCATGTTGTGTTGTCCAGCCCCCACAATTCCCCCACCACCCACAAAATTAAATAAGAAACCTGTAGTGTTCTGTATAGCGACAGTGAACAGTTAGCACAAGTGTGTTTGATCATAGTTACATTTTGGTCAGTTTCTTTCTGGGAGCAATTTAGATAATGGTTTGTGGATATATTGAGATTGGAGTCAAACACCAATAACTATTTTTGATGAATCTCATGGGAAAGTAATGACCATCAGTT